GTTAACCACAGAACCTTGGATCTTCATTAGCCATGGTGCCTCCGTTCACTAATTGCTAAGTAGAGCTGAAGGAAGTACATATATAGCAAGAAGCAGACTGGGAAATAAAAACACACAGTTATAGCACCCCAATTACATCAGGAATTCTGAGAATCCCTATAAAGAAATCTTGAATCTGCTAAAGTGTTACATTTACCTCCTTACACATTATGGAATTACATTTCTTGCCATTGCAGCTTAAATCCTTTGCCTGTTTACCTCTTTCTTTCATTTTTTTAATTGGTGATTTCATAACACAAAGGAAGAACACACCCCATCCCGATTGAAGCTCTTGGGTTTATTCACACGTGCTTAGAAAATGAGTAGTTAAAGGTGCTTCCAGCACACACAGTGCTCTGCAACCACTGTGGGAGCAGAGTTGGGCTCCTGAAGCAGCACTGGGTCACAACTCATGTCCCCCCCCATGGGAGTGTTTGCTCAGAAATAACCCCAATAAGTGCTCAGTGTGAATTTACACACGGAACTGGAGCATGGCTACATGCAGACGACGTGCTTCCTCCTTCCAGCAGAAGTGAAAGGAACTCACTGCTTTATTTAATACCTCCATGCCAATGTTCACGCTCAGGCATTCATTGTTTACTTACGCTGAGCATACAGTGCACACACTGTGCTGCCTGGGAAGGAATAAAGATCTACTGTTCCAGCCAGCCAAATATTTTTAAAATCCAGTGACTTGCCAGAAAGGATTTCTGGGGCTCCTGGAGTTACTGCACTGCTGCATTTTGCTGGGCAGATGCTGCTGCTCCAGGAGGGCCAGCACTGCTGCAGCACTGATCGGGAGCTCAGAAGGAGATGATGAATTGTCAGAGCTTGCACAAAGCCAACGGGTCCTTTGTGTGAGCATTTCTTGATCAGCTGGGTTTCCCCTCAGGCTGGGCAGCCTGGTGCTGTGCTGGGCTGGGATCCTTCTGTTCTTTATGAGAACCCTCCTGGAGAATCATCCCAGCTCCTGCACTGAACTCACAGGCAGGAGTTACACACCAGGAGGACAACCACATAAAGCACAGTGACTGCAAACCATCCTCTGCCTCAAGAGAAAGGTTCCATACCCGTCTGACTGCTTCAAGATGTTGTTGGGTTTTTTAAGGCTTTTCATCCACTAATTAGTAGCCTCAGTAAGATAAAGGTTGAATTTTTCTTTTTTTTCTTCTTTTCGTGATCTTGTAATGACTTTTCCCCACATTTCTTAACTGCGTCTTCCTCTAAACCTAAAAGGAATGATGTGACCGACTGGCCTTTCCTATTTCTGGATTTGATTTATGCTGCAGTCTGCAAAGGAATGACTCAGAGCTGCTCAGCATTGGCCTCATGCGAGGGCTGTGTGCAGGCAGGAAGGTCTGCGTGGCTCAGGACAATCCTCCTCCTCTGTGTTCCCTCCTGGGCTTTATTCTATGTCAAAACGCCCTTCTCCTGCACAAAGCCCTCAGTTAAACCTCTCACAGGTTGCTTTCCGGGCTCTGTCTGGGTGGTTCAGTTGTGTTCCATCAAGGCTTCTGTTTTTTTCAGCTGTTAGCTGTGACATTGCTGCTCTGCACTGAACATAAAGCTCAGACAGGTGATGCTCAGTAGCTGAGCTTCCCAGGATCCAGGTGAGTCCCTCCTTGCTCTCACCTCAGAGTGCAGTGATGGAGATGGAAGATACCTGTCCCAGGCTGAGCCCATCAGCAGCTCCTGAGGGTTCAGACCTCTGCCAGGTCTCTCCCTTGGTGCAGGCAGGGACCGTGGGGTGATTCACTGTCCTGCCGTGCAGGCGTAGCAGAGAGCTGACTCATCTGCTGAGAAGGGAGCCAACTTTTGATTAAGAAGCCTAAAACATGGATGTGATATTGAAAATGTTTCACCCTGAGTGGTGTCTCACATGCATGCCATAGAACTATAGAATGGCCTGGTTTGATGCAGACCACAATTACCATCTAGTTCCAACCCCCTGCTATGTGCAGGGTCACCAACCAGCAGACCAGGCTGCCCAGAGCCACATCCAGCCTGGCCTTGAATGCCTCCAGGGATGGGGCATCCACAACCTCCTTGGGCAGTGTGGGTGATGGGGGCTCATTTCCCAGTGCTTTTGCAGTGCTGTCAGCCTCCTTCAGTGTGTACCAGCAGATTTAGGAGCAGGATATCCAGGATATCATTTATAAAGTTGCCTCGGTCCCCACTTCACCAATGCTCAGTGAGAGCTGCAGGTTGCATCCTTACATCCCGAGTACTTTTGGAAGACAGTTTAGAAAATACAATTAAAATATGGGCAATATCACTTCAAATAACATCAGGAGGATCGGTACGGCTTTTCCCTTCCCTGTAGTCGGACCCTTTGAACCCTCTGTGGGTGCACTTTTAAATGAGCTGCTCAGGCAACTGCTGGTAATTCCTATGTGTGCAGTGGTTTAAATGACCCTGTAAACGTGCGGCTGGGCACGGCTCAGAGCGCTGCCAGACCGGCCTCGACTGCACCATAATTACGTGGAGCAGGAATTCGAGCTGTGTTCCTCCCCGTGCTCCTCATCTCCCCATGAATCCAGTTTCAGCCTCCCACCTGGCACAGGGACAGCTGGAGCTGCTGCTTGCTATGACAGCCCTTTTCCATGGGAGCGTTTATCTCACACTCATTCTTGTCTGGCTTATCTGCAGCAGAACGTAAGGAACAAACCCCATCCTTTCACTTCCAGTGGCTGCACTTTGGTGTCCCCAAACCAGAGTGATCCTGAATACTGCTGTGTGCTCAGCAGCATCAGGGCTCAGCACCGAGCAGTATGAGGCCGAGGGGCCATTTGCCCCTTCCAGGAGGATCCTGCTGCAAGTTTGGCTGCTTAAAAAGTGTTCAGAGCAGCAGTTGTTGTGCAGCCAATGTCTCTGTGCATGACAGTGCTGACTTGTCAGCGTTTAACACACTGGATTTGCTCAGAATATGCAGGGCAGCACTGTACCTGGGTCATGCAGTGCCACTGCAATCCAGCAAGCAGACACTGAGTGAAGCACATCATGAATAAGTGGAGTGTCATGGTGTGTCCTTCAGGGCAGCAGTGCATTGTGCATCACCAGAAGAGTAAATTGCACTGAAGTTTGTGATATCAGGGTGGTCACGTCCTGCTGCACAGCATTCTTCCTGTGTTTTGGGCTTCTATTCCTGCTCCTCCAGGATCCAATGTCTTTTTTTTTTTTTTTTCATTCATAAAAAACAACCAGGGAAGTGCAATAAGCACACAGCTAAATTTAGAGTTTATTTGTGTACGAGGTCTTTCTACATGTGTACTTTTTAAAGTACTGTTTCAGAGAGAAATCTGAGCCCCACGGAGGTCAGAAAGAGTTCTGTTACCCAGACACATCCCTGCCTCCTCCGGTCTGACTCAGTGCACTGATTTATGGGAAATACTACACTGCACTATGTAAGTACTCAGAGATAATTTTAATATTTCCTCTGCTAAGGCCTCAGACAGAAAACTTCGTAACATGAGAGATGAGGGGGCATCCAAAAATGCTTTTGTGTGTGTCTGGCAGCCAAGCTCTCTGCGGAAGGATTTTGATTCCACTCTCAGGAAAAGCAGTTGAAACTCCAGCAAGATGTGAAGTTCTCTTGTTCTTAAACCAGTTCTCTGTGCCACAGCTCTCCAGGTGCCAGCGAGGGCTGTGATGATGGGAGATCAGCCTGGGCTGCTTGAGTCTGACATTAAAAGCCACCCGTGGCTCTGTGCTCTCTGAGGCCCTTGGCTGATGGCAGATCTCAGACAGGCAATTCTCAGCCCCAGTGCAGGCAGAAAGGAGCTGTTTTTAACCTGACACACGTCCTGCTCCCAGCCAGGGGCATTCTGCGAGCTCAGCATTTTCCTCTAAAAGGATTTCAAAGCAAATATAGCTAAAGTAAAAATGGTACTTTACAAGAATAGCTTAACATGGGGTGTAGAACCATTACAGAGTCCAGGCTCTTTGTGCTAATGCTACATCAAGTTGTATATACAGTCAGAAGGTCTGCACAGCTGGTTATTTGCAAGAGGAAAGCCAGATCCTTGTGCTCCCCCGGCATATACACTTTTAGTCCTTTCCACTAAATTAGAGAAATCAATGTATCCATGACATAATAGCAGAAGTCTGCCATAAGAAGAAGTTTAAAAGGGTCAGAAATGGGTTAAAAACTCTGGCTGTGAAGCACAGCGTTATCTCTGGAGGCTGACGCTGTTTTCACAGTCTGCAGTGGGCTCCCATATCTGCAGCACAGTCACAGTCCTGCAGACCAGCTTCTGTCACTGACGGCCATGCAATCCTTTGTAAACAGAGGAGGGAAATTCACTTTGCCTAAATAAATGTTAGCGTGCAGCATGTACTGCATGAGATGTATGGAGTTCTGTAGGAAGCCCTGCTGACAAAGGCAGCTGGGCCTTTTTGTTACAGTTTGTGATTTTAGTAGCTGCTAAAAGCTTCAGTGAAATCATATCCGTGTAAGTTTGTTTCCTTAATTCCTCCCTTTCTTTCTGGATTCTGGTAGGAATCATCTCCCCCAATCTTGGCTCTTCAGCCACATTTCATTACATTTCTGCTCAGTGAGCAGAGTGATGATGGAGGACTGAATCTGGGAAGCAGGACGTTGCTTGTTCATGATGTCTTTTAAGATCCGATCGAGTTTTTGATTCCAGTTATTATTTAGGAGGAGTTATTTTTGGTTGAGATAACTGTAATGATGTTCGGCAGCAATCACTGTTCATTGCGATGATTGCTAATGAATGCTCTTAATTGGCGACCGCCTCCCACGGGTGGAAATCGCCCCGCGGGCCGGAATTGCCCCACAGCTGCCATGCAACCTTCGGCCCTCCCCGCCCCACCGCTGCCGTAGGGCTGAGCGGATCGGATCGGATCGGTTCGGCCCCGCGCGGCGCCTCCACTCGCGGCATTACGGCGCGGGCGGGGCGGGGGGCGCGGCTGGGAGCGCGGCGGCGGCTCAAGAGCGGCGGGGCCGGGAGCGGGGCGGGGCGGCCGGCAGCGGGACCGGGATCGGGCCGGGGAGCGCCGAGAGGGGCTGCGGTGAGCCGTGGGTGGGGGGGGATGCGGGGGGTCATCGCGGCCGGGCGCAGCGCGGCGCAGCGCTTCTCAACCTCCCCCTCCGGAGGCTGCCGGTGCCGAGCTGCTCTCGCAGCGCTCCCTCTGCCGCCGGCCCGACCCAGCGCGTCTCGGCGGGGCTGGAAAGAGCCAGAACGGCTGCTGTAAGCAGGCGGCGTTGCGGGCTGCGGCACCTGGTAGCGGCGGCTTCGAAGGCGGTGCCCTGCGGGCGGTGGCGGCGTGGGAGCTGCAGGGCGGCTGTCCCGTGTTACTGCCCGTGTTGCTCCCCGTGCTGGCTGCTGCTCGGAGCTGCGGCTCTGCGAGGGTTCCGGGACGCGCTTGTTCCGCTCTCACCTCCTTTCGCTTTCAGCTGGAGTTCGTTTTCGGAAAGAAATCCTTTCGCTCCGGCCCGCAGGCACTGCTGTGTGCCGAGCAGCGGCGGGGATGGTGACGGAGTCACTGAGATTGGAGGAGAGCTCTGAGGTCCCCGCTCGGGCTGTCGGTGCTCCCTTGGGGGGGTGTTGGGGTATGGGGTACAGAGAGCTTCTCCGTGACCTGTGGGCAGGGCTGCAGGAATCCTATAGCTCTGTGCTGGCTGCTCTCGGGCAGCGTGTCCCCCAGGTTGGCTTTCCTAGAAGATGAGTGTGTAATCAAACGTCCTGTCCTTTGACTTCGTAGTACTTTGTGAGGGTGAAGTGGCTCTGGAAGGTCACACAGCCATCTTCTCCAGGCGGGTGCTGCAGCTTGCTGGCATCAAGGACTTCGGGAATACAGGTACGTTGTATATATATATAGCAAAACCGATAACTGCTGCTCTGATTTCTCATAATGCCACCTGAGAACTGTAAATTACCATCGCTGTGACTCTAAGGGACAAGAATTTTGCTTATGCTGTAACTTACTGAGATTCCCGTTTCAATGTAGCTCCGTGCAGGAAGTACAACCACGACCGTCGTGCGTTTCAGGCTGTAACAGCAGGGGGAGCATGATTTACTGCACAACGTGAGGAGTTCGTTCTAGATTGAAGTCAGGAATCGCGTCTGTTTATAATACCCATGCTGTGCATGTTGGCGAGCTTCCAAAGAAGCGAGCTGTGAACATAGATTGCTTTCCTCTGCCTGGGCCTGGTTTTTGTGTATGGCTCTCTGTATGAAGAACGCTGGGTATGTCAGGAGTATGTGTTCCAGGGTGATCTGAGATCCTGCCACACATTTGAGCTTAATTCGGTTGTTGTTACCAGTTGAAAGGAGTGCTTTGCTGCCCACAGCTTTGTGACATTAAAAAAAAAATCTTTCTGAATGGAAACTTTTTTTCATGTAATGCGAATGTATGGAAGGCAAATATATAGATGTATACCAAAACTATGGGCTTTGCACAGTAAAATGCAGTCTGGAACTTAATGCTGGGAACCATTGCAGTGGGAGAGGGGTGTGTTGTGCTCACGTGTTCACCAACAGTGTGCAGTTTGGCTCCAGCTGTATGGTGAGCTTGTGGGCACTGCAGAGTGAGATGCAGGCAGATTTGCTGTGCTAACTGTGTGAGTTTTCTTGTCTTCTACAGTGCTGAAGAAATATTTTTTTTGCTATAGTTTAAACAAATGGAAACTGATCCAGATGCTTATGCTTTCTGAGGGTAGTATCAGTGAGGATAACACAAGGCATTTTACCCTTTAAAAAAATGCATGCAGTTTTGCATAGACATACTGTGTCCTTGTCAGTGCGTGCAAATGAACAGCTTTTCCTCTTTTCCTTTTGGCTTGCCATGAAAAGTACAAGGAGATCATGTTGTATTATTTGTTAGGCAATTATAATTGTTTTCAGATGCACATTAAGCCCTTTGGCAAGAAAGGTGGTGATGTAGGCATAAGCTGCTTTGAGCAGAAAACTCAAAGTATACTGGAGGAGGGAATTGGGAAGGAATTATTAGGTGATCCTTAAGGGAGAAAAGAATTTGCTTGTGAGGAGCTATGTGATATTGGAAGGAAGCAATGCCTTTTCTCTCCCTTGCTGTGAGCAGGAGCTAGCTGTTTTAGGAGGGTAACTGCATGCTGCACTGATGGTGTCAGTAATCCTGGTGTGAGGTTCAAGTTCTGAGTGGGACCCTGATGAGCACTTGATTTCACACTTCTTAGTTCAGGGATGTTGGAGCACCTACTGTGTCTGGATAATGGATTATGGCCCTGAATAGTGTCTCAGTTGTCTGCTAGCAGTGAAGATTTGCTCTATTGGGATAAAATTAATGTTTCCTCACTATTTAATCATTTTAATTAGCTTTAGAGCTGCCATCGTGTGCCAAGGATCTGCTGGCTGTGAGACTCGCTGCTCTGAGCTGGGTGTTTTTATGGCTGCTTTTCTTATAGCAGTATAATAATAATTCTGAATCCATTTATGATTCAGCCCGTCCTCTGGCCTTAAGCATGAGAATAATCTAGCAGGTTTTTGTTTGTACTGCTGTATTTAAATATGCTTAGCCTCCTGTGTAGCCATCAGGACTAATGGCAAGCTGTTGACCACTTTTGAAGCCACTTGCCTTGTAGGGAGTGAGGGGGATGGATCACTTCTTGCTGTGTCTGCAGGTAACAGATGCTGGTCGTAAAGCACTGGCATTTGGAGAATGTTGGCTCATCCAAGAGTCCAACCCCAAATTGCTGTTTGAAGATGGGCTGCTCTTCAGAGCCTGGTGTATGGAGCTCAGCTGTATGCACTGAGAACCATCTGTGGCCTGAGGCAGCTTTGAAATAGTGACTTGCTTGTTATGCTGCCCTGTGATATGTTAAATTTAGCTGCAGTGGGGAAGCACTATTTTAGCAGTGGCTTTCCAGGTCTCTTTAATAGCACAGGCAGCCGCAGAAGAAGAGCCAGTCTGTAACCCTGATTTGTGGGTGAAAAGCTGACAATCCCAGTAGGCGTGCAAATAACTTCTATAGGTTGGGTCCATGTTCTGACATCTTCTGGAGAATTTTTAGTGTGTTTAATAAAGAACTCAGTCTAACTTGGGAAGAAAAATTCCATCCTGGTCTATTTGGTCTAAAAGGACTTTTTCCTGCGGCCGGAGCTCCCTGCAGCCTGACGGTGCTCTTTCCAGTGGGAGCAATGATTCATTGAGGGCTTACACTCCTGAAAAGTGTTTATACAGTATCCATTTGGTTGGCTTTTCCTGCTGCTGGCTGGGTACTTTTAAGGGGAGGGAAGGAACAAAACACACAATGTTGCTGTATGTGGAGCTTTTCAGCTCTAAGTATCCCTCCTTGCAGTCCCATAGGCTGGGCAATGGTGCACGTGCTCACCTCCAGGGAGCAAAGCACTTGGAGGTATCTGTGCTCTTAATACAGCCAATGCTGCCAGCTCTCGGTTCCTGCATGGCCCCTGCGTGATTTTTAGCTTAGGCTAAACTGAGCTTAGAAAACCTGTGTGAGTCTTCTGAAACCTGTTGCAGAGCAGTGTAGCTGTTCTCATCGGAATGAAAGGAAATCCTGAATTCACCTGTCTGGATAACAGGCATACCATGCTGAGGAGCTGCAGGCAGTGCTTGTCCTGCAGCTTTCTTATCTATAGAGTTCAGGCATTTCTGTGCAACTGAGTTCTTCCATCATCCAAGGAAAGCAGACTGGCTTTACTGATTTCTTGGTCCTGGTTTTTGAGGTGGGAGGTGCTAATGCCCCTTCTGGCTCTGTTCTGTGTTAGCAGATAGCCTGGCTGTATGTGTGGGGGAAGCCATGCACACGTGTGTGTGTGCACATGCACCAGTGCTTTCCAAAACTGTGGTTATGACATCACTCTTAGTCTCCTGTAATTCATTATTTCTTGCTGGTTTTCTGAACAACAGCTGTGAGAAGAATGTATACAAACAGTTTGGAAGTCCTACGGCCAGGTGTCTGCTGCTTCAAGCAAGAGCTGGTTTGTGTTTACTGAGGGTTTCTGTTTATTGACTCAAGAAAACCTGAGTAGGATGGCAAAGCTGTTAAAGATATGCTGTAAAGACAAGCTGCTAGCTGTAGTAAGTGTTCTTTTTGGCAGACATCCTGAGCCGTGAGCGAACATGGTGGGGAGGTGCAGGGAGAAAGCAAAGTTGTGTTGTTTGAACTGGAAAGCTCCCTTGTAATTGTTTTGCCAGGCTCTGTGTAGCGTGTCCAAAAAACCACTCCGTGAGACAAGAACAGCCCATGCAGATGGACAGTTCTGGCTGAGTACATCCCAACTGATGTGCTTCCCAAGTACTCTCGAGTCGCTGTGCTTTCTGCTATATCACTTATAGTGGCTGTCAGTGCTGGCAGACCTCTGTGTGGTACTGTTCATTCAGCTTTGCTTGGTTCTCACGTTACCCATGTATGAGTTCTGAACAGGCTTAAACAAATCGTTTGGGAATACGTGGTTTGCAGGGGGGTGAGAACAGCATGGTCAGAAGCCTTCTGCATTCCCTGTCTCAGACACTGTTTTTCTGCTTACTCATGCTTGCAAACTTGTGGTAAATATTTCTGACTTCTCATACAGACTTTTAAGGCAATCAAAAGGAAAATGTAAGAAATATCTTGCAGTGTGGTAATACATAGCAGAGCTATGTGTTGTTCTCAGTGGTGGTGGTGGTGTTGGTGTGCTTGTTTTTTGCATCCATGTACCAAGGAGCTTGGAGTAAGGGTTGGGACTCCTATCATACTGCATTCTTGAAAAATGGAGAAAGGGAAGGTGTCATCCATCTGCCAGCTCCTTCTACCATCTTCCTTTTGTTCTAATGTGGGGATGCTGGGAGAGCTCCTCTGGTGGCTGTTCTGCTCGCTGAGCAGCAGCCTTGGAAATCCGAAAGCCATAAGGCAACACTGTGCCCAGAGGCCATAGTATTGGGATGATGTATTTTAAATGATCCAAGTTGGAAATTTTCACTTTAAATTTTTCCAGCATTTGCTGCCACTTCTACTCTACAAAAAGTGTTATTTATTTGGCTTTCTCACTATTTGTATTTCTTGACAGTTTTTATATAACTGTTTCCTACCATGTCTGTGTCTGACCATTTGACTGGGACTTTATTGCTGCTGGAAGGTGATACAACTCTGATTTTCCAGGTTTGAGCTTTCTAGAAGATGAAGCCCTGGCTGCAGTTGGTGTTCTTCACCAGTGTTTTCTTGATCTGGCATGCAGAAGCAGAATTCTTCACTTCAATAGGTACGGAAACAACCATTGCACAATATCATGATGCAACTAATGTGACTGCCAGAACTGTTAAACTTTACAGATGAACCGTATGGCTGCCCTTGTATGGCCCTATCAAACACCAGCTTCATCAGGGAGAGCAACGCTTTGATGTCCTTGGTGCTATTCTGCACTGCAGGTTTTGTATCGCTGGGTGTTGTTCACATTTGGTTAGCTCAGCACGTCATGACTAACTTGATATGAGCTTCTCTGAGGTCTGTGAGTAAAAGACAACTTCTGTCTTTTCTTAAGAGCTGTGCATCTGGTGTTTTGAATGCAGCACAAAGCTTATGTGAAAAAGTTCATCCTGAGGTGCTGATTTCACACAGAGAACTTGCGTGATAAATATGTGAAACGTTCTTTCACAAAATGTGATACCTCTTATCTCTTAACTAATCTGGGTTTGGGAATAGGAAGGAAAAATCTCCAAAACCCTTCCTGGTTTTGTAAGATTTCGGTAAATCCCAATGAATTCATATCGCTGCAGGTCTGGAAAACAGATTTGATGAAATTCTAGTTCTTGTCTTACGGCTGTGATTAAGCAGTGTATGATTTCTGTAGTAGAACCTAGAAGTAGGCACAAACTGATTCCTGCTGTGACTTGGTCTAATACTTTCCTGTGGAATAGTAAATAAAGGTAATAAAGATGAGAGGTGAATGGATCTGGCTGTCCTCAACTTTGAGCTCAGTGAAGCAGCGCTTCTGAATGCTAAAGCTCCAAACTCCTGCTTGTTTCTTTTGCACTAATGTATGGAATTCATCAGCCAGAGCAAAGCAGTGGGGTTTGGAGCACGTGTTCCTTGTGTTCTGAAGCTGACTAAATAGTGCTTACCTATGTGACTGCAAGGTTACTGTGAAGGACCACCTGCTCTTCCCATTTGCCTGTTTCTGGACCTTCCTTATCTCTGGGAGAAGAACATCCTGCTGCCTTTCTGCTTAATTATGCCTCACTAATAAAGACTTTAGAATGCTGACACTAAAGCTGGGTCTTTCAGTGTTACTCTTTGAAAAGCAAAGTTTGTCACAACCCTTCAGATGAATATGCTAGCAGTTCTCTCTAATGCTAATGAGGAGAGACTTTGTCAGTCTATAAACATCAGTCTGAAGTTCCTCCTTAATGGTAGGTTGTGTATCCACAGATACCAGTATTGAAAAGCTGTAATTTTAAGTGAGTCAAATGGTAGAGTAGTAGCTGACCTCATTTCTGTCCATGTGCTGAACAGATGTTAGGGCATCTGGATGTCTTGTTGCTTTGACTCAGTAGCTTCATTAATGTCAAACCTTTATTTTGATCGCATGGCATATAATTATAATAGTAAAGTAATTTGGAGATGGTTTAAAAAAAAAAGAGACAAGGCTATGTGAACAAATGAAGTTGAGACTTTAATAGCCTCTTGAAGCATTTAAATGTCAGACCTGTGTGTGTAGTAAGTCTGAAAGCATTCCAGCTCTAAGTGCACACCTTTGATTTATCTGTTCTTAAAGGGGCTGCAGCATCTGAGGCCTTTGGTGCTGCTGGGGGACTTCTCATGAGTGTGATTACTACTTGCTTGTATTCTGTTTTCAGGTCAAATGACAGATCTGATTTATGCAGAGAAGGACTTGGTACAGTCTTTGAAAGAATACATCCGAGCAGAAGAGACCAAACTGTCTCGGATTAAAAGGTAAGGGAGAGGTTTGCGTAGTGAAGAGGGGCAACAAAGTGCATAACCTGTTGTGTTCAGTTACAGCTCACCTTCCTGTTCTGGTTAGCACTTCCCCAATAAATATAATGAGTGTAAGTAGTGCTCCTATGGAGAAGACACTGATATCAAAGAGGAGCCTTATCTGCGTGAGTTAAATGCCTGTAGATGCTGTTGCTCTGGGCTACCTGTTTAAGCATTGCACAGCTTGTATTATCCTGGTACCTCAGATCAGTTAAAGCTCTTGCTGACAACACACTCCTTAGCTAGGCTGTTAATAATTACCTAGCTAAAAGTTGTACCTAACAGGGCATGGCACCAGAATGGTCTGAAGTCTGGGTTAGTAGGAGCTGTGTGCCTGTAACTGGCTTTCCATTTCTGCACTCCAGATGGTATCTGGCAGCTTGATCTCCCTTTGGGATTGTTGGGTGGGGACAGGGTTATGAAACAGTGAAATTATCCAAATTCCTTGTTGCTTTTGTACACACAAATTTATTTCTTGAAAAGTTGCCCTTCTGAAGAAAAACTGTCTCCTGTTCAAGTATGTTTAAACAGAGCTCAAGCTATGTATAATTTTTTTAAAGCAACAAAAACCATTTGCATATGTCAGATTTCTCTTTGCACGTGTTAAATTTGCAGTTGACTTTTTCCTATGTTGGGAAGCAAGAGGATATTTCAGTTGTCACAACACTGGAGCTCTAGTCTGAGGGATGTGTTCTGTAACAGATGCTGAATTTCATCTTTTGAATTTGGTGGCATTTGTCACAATTGCTTTCTATGTATAGAGATGTTTGACTCAATACTGCTGTGAACAGAGTAAAACTTCACCTTATTACGACTTTGCAAAATAAATACTGGATGCAGTGAAAGCTGATTTTTTTTTTTTTAAAGTGGTGTAGACATGTCTTAAGGTGTCATTAATCTGATATCTCTGCAAAGGGTTCTCATCTTGCTTTGTTGCAACATCATGATAGAATAAGGCAGCCTGGCGGTTTGTGCCAATTGAACTGCTTACAGCCATGGTTCATTCATGGCTTAGTTTGGGGTTAGACTCAAAGGGGATTTCTAATGTTCAGTTATTAGCTTACCTCAGCAAAGTTTTTTTTCCTTCCTGGGTACTGGGGAGAGGCTGGCCAAATGCTTGTCATAAGGGATAATAGGAATTTGCACACTTCTGAGATAGATAAATGATGCTTTTTATTATTTGCTGAAGTGCAACATGCTGAAAACTGATGGCTAAGGCTCATTGCAGGGGAGATGAATGCCTACTGAGATTTAAATTAATAGGCAGGGAAATCTCTTTGAAAAGAGCATATTGTGATTAAAAACAAAAATCAATGAACCTCACTTCATCCTTGTGAAGTTAAAAGCCTTACATCTGGTTATGATAGCAAAAGCAGCAGTAAGTTGGTTCTAGCTATGTAATTAGGATGACTTCAGAAGGAAGACATGCATTCAGAAATTGTTCTCAGGCTGAGCAATACAATTCTCTCTTTCCAGCTGGGCTGAAAAAATGGATGTGCTGACGAGCAAATCCACCTCGGATCCAGAGGGGTACCTGGCACACCCTGTGAATGCTTATAAGCTGGTGAAGCGTTTAAATACTGACTGGCTGGAATTAGAAAACCTGGTTCTTCAGGATACAACAAATGGTAAGGACTGCAGGGAAGGTGTTGGTGGGAGGTCCCCTTACAGCTTCCCCTTATGTTCTGGAAGCTGCAGACCCAGCTGTGGCTTAAATACTGTTGCTAATTTGGTTTGAAGCTTAAACTAATGACTGGGCTCTTGCTTACTGGGTACCCAAGGGGGGAAATGTGCTGCTGAGCCAAGACTCAAAGCTGTTACTTGTCATAGGCACATTACATTTGGTTTGCTTGTGTAGTTTGCAGCTAAGAGGAGAATAGGGTGTCCTAAAGTGGCCAGCAGTTATCAGCTGTTTAGTATCTTGTCTTGAGCTATATATTCTTCTGTGTAACAGCTCACTCATCTTACTTCCCAATCTGCTGCATCTGTAAGCAGTCACTTGTGACCACGTTGGTCAGTAAATAAGGATCAAAATGAGATCTGTACTGAATTGGCAAAGGACTCTTTGTCATTGTATGTCAGCAATTATGTGGTGCAAGTGAATGTATTGATGGTTATTTCTCTTGTCATTTGCCTGTTAACTCTGTTTCTTATAATGGAACAGAAAGCAATGCCTGTATAAGTGGAGAGCCTAATGAGAGGCTTTAAATCTAGTTAATTTGAATCTTGGAATTTAGAAACAAAGCAGACGTGTCCTGTGTTAATCTGGTGCTGAACTTATTCAAACCAAAGTAACAGCTTTTCCTTTTGTTATGAAGGCTTTATCACAAATCTCACAATTCAGCGCCAGTTCTTTCCAACTGAAGAAGACGAGACAGGGGCTGCCAAGGCTCTGATGCGCCTGCAGGACACGTACAAACTGGATCCTGAAACTCTCTCTCGAGGGAACTTACCAGGTAAGTGTGCAGTGGTCTCATCTGCTATAAAGAGATGCAAACAGTAACACCCTCAAACTCTCCAAAAGTCCATTTTGAGTGGAAATAAAGGCCTGTGGTTCTGAAACTGTGTGGCTCAAGCAGTAGAGGTTGCATTTGCTGTAATGTTCTGAGAATGAGGTTTTTTCCATCCCAGCCAGGGAGCCACGATCCACACGATCAGCTCAAGTGGCACAGGTTTTATTTCTATTAGTTTAAGGGGAAATCTGTTCTGGCTTTTTTGTGGTCTCAGTACCAAAGCTAGGAAGCTGCTTATGCTGGTAGCTGTGTAGGCAAATGGCATGGCTGTTTCCCTGGGAACTTATGAGCTGGGCAGAGGAGATGCTCCCTAATTCACTGCTCTTGTGGCTTCTAGCAAAGCGTGGTTCTCTTCTTGCCCTCTTGTTCTTTATCTACAGAGTAAAGACCAACAGTATTTGCCACAAAGTTACTTCTGAGTCTAGATAAATATATTGTGATGTCATTGTTCTCTCAGGAGTCCCACTGGGTGTTTGTAAGAGATGTGCTAGCGACCGTAACCTGTTCCAGTAGCACTGCTTACAGATTGCCTGGACTTCGTTAAAGTGTGGGTAGTTGAGTTTACAAAATCGCTTTAGTTAAATGTAGGTCATGAACAGTGAACTGCAAATGAAGCCATATCTGTGCACCTGATCTGAAGCAACCGGAAATCTGCACACAATTGAACCTAGTTTGCCTAAATAACAATCAGCTTGCTTATGCATAAATATACACCTCAAGAGCACACGAGACAGCGTGCCATGTAGCCAGACATCTCTGATAATCTAACAGTGTTAACTTGGTGTCAGTCAAATCTGCTAAGCTTTTAGTCCATTCTGCCTTTGTCTACAGCAGAAGGCAGAATAGCTGAAGAGAAGTTTGTTAAACTTTTCTTGGTTCCCAAACAGATGAATGCCACAATGATGATGGAATGTAAATTTCAACTCCTGAAGGTGACCAGTTCAGTATGGAATGTAAATCATTGTTATGCATTCTTCAAAAGACGTCTTTTATTATAAGTGTGTGTATTTATTGATATTTCTCAATGTGCCTCCACATATGAGGGCAAGAATGCTTCTGTGCAGGTTGCTTAAAGAACTTTTTTTGTTATTAGGAACAAAATATAGGTCGTCTTTGACAGTGAGTGACTGCTTTGGTATGGGCAAGACTGCTTACAATGATGGTGACTACTATCACACAGTACTGTGGATGGAGCAAGCCTTAAAACAGCACGATGAGGGGGAGGATACTACAGTCAGCAAAGTGGAGATCCTGGATTATCTCAGCTATGCTGTCTTCCAGTTTGGGGACTTGCACAGAGCCATGGAGCTTACGAGGCGCCTGATATCCCTTGGTAAGAGCATTGCCAGTAACAGCCAAGAACAGCCCATACTTATGGGTGAGCTGACTGGAAGGGTTTTCTACCTGTAAACAAATATAAGTTATGGAGAAAAGTCTACTTGTGCATGAAATGTCCTCAGCAAGCCATCCTATAGGCCACCTGTTGTTACCTGAAACCTAAATGTCTGTCTGACCACTGTATCTGCTGGTGTACTGTGATGTCTGGCAATGGTTAATGCCTGGGCTTAAGGATTCCAGTAGAGATCAAGGCTGCCATGGGCTCAGCAGAGTACTATTTCTGCTGTCAAAACCTGCTGACTTTTTAATATTTCTTCACAGATGCTCTTTTATGTTGGGTAGTTTCTTTGCCTGAGATCTTAGTGTATTTTTTCTGAGCAGTCAGACCATAGATGGAATTTCCTGAGACCTGGTTTTATCTGTGCTCTGTTTCTAGGTTTCTTTTGAGTAAGCAAATAGGCATTCCTTTAAGTACAGCTCTGTTTGCTGCTTGTGTTGGGAAGGTTTGTTATCTCTAGCATCTTCTGACTGAAATATTTGTATGCCTTTTAAATCAGCTGTGGTTCTTAATCTAGACGCTGGCTGCATCCCGGGAGTAAGTGAAGTTGTTTTATTGGCAGGGAGGAGAATGGGAAAGATGAATAACTTCTGCAGACATTGAAATTCCTAGATTAAAGTTCACAGGGATGACTGTAGTGAATTTAGTTCCCTCTGCAATAATGCGTAGCACTGATAGCACAATGCAAATCCTTATCAGCATCAGAGTGGAACAGACTTGACAGTCCTTTGTGGGAGCCTCCTCTACACTGGGATAACCTTTATCTAGCCAATATCAGCCTGTGCTTTGAGGGGTGGTTACTTCAGTGACATCTGGGTTAGTTAAATAAGAGACACAATAAGCTTGGGAAAGTCAAAAGCAAAGAAGTGTTGTAGGTGCTATGTCCAGAAACACATAGTGGTGAACTGGGACTTGTTCCTTCTATAGTGTAACTATAATAGGTGATTAAAGTCATCTATTGATGGTATTTACTAGTTCATATCAGCAGCTTTAATCACTAATGATAGGTCTAATGTGTTCTGGAATACCTCTGGTACAGGCATGAGTGAATGGATGCTGTAGGTAAGCTGGTAAATGGCAATGCTTAACTTCTGAGCTTCCAGGCTTTACAGGAAGTGTTTGAGACTGAAGTTTGTGGCTGGGGTTCCACTGAGGTACTGGGCTAAAGCCTGCTTGTGCACTGCAGATGAGAGGTATGGTGCAGAAGGGTGCTGCAAATAGCCTAGCTTGATCTCTTGTGGTCTGCTTCTCCTGGATGGAATTAGGCAGACAACCTGTGAAGTACAGGAGGACTGTGGTGACCAAAACCTTTTTCCACTCAGAACTGCATGTTCTGTGATGGATCCTTTCAGAAATTACTGCAGAAGAATGCCAGCTTCTCTCTGCAAAGACAAACAGGAGCCAGAGCACTTGGTTGCTTGATGGCGCTCTAGGATGGAGAGAATTATTGCTGAATCTTGATGCAAAGTCTTCCTTGCATTAACAATTCCTGAGACTGCAGCAGTTACTGGCTCTGTCTGTTTTCCCCTGATGAAGACAGTACTCATGAGAGAGCGGGCAGCAATCTGCGGTACTTTGAGAAGCTGCTGGAGAAGGAGAGAGAGAAGCCCTCAAACAAGACAGCGGCCACAACTGAACCAGTGGTGCAAAGTGGTGCCTATGAGAGACCTCTTGACTACTTGCCAGAGCGCGATATCTATGAGGCCCTCTGCAGAGGTGAAGGGGTGAAAATGGTAAGAGAAAGGCAGAGCTTTTCTGATCGCACTGCCGTTGCATAAGGATGGTTGAGTTTGCTCATGTGTTAAGCTGTGCAAGAAAAATGAAGTGTAATTGTCCAGCCTGAGACTTGCGCTTATGCCTCAGCCTCTGTCTTAACCTGTTAAATCTGTACAGCTCTCAGCTTGTTCTTCTTAAAGGTTGGTGAGAACTGAGTCTCCTGACAGTCTGTCTGTTCAATCATTTCAGTTGCTGGCTGTATTGGTAAAATAGGAGGCTTTTCTCACTGAGAACTAGTTATGTTTTGCCACTGTTATAGCATCACATTTTGTGCATCTTGATGGGTGCTCCTGGGGTGACCGTACTGACTGCCAGTCTTTGGCACTTCAAATATTTTTAGTGCAGGAAGAAATCCATTTATTTCTCTGCGCAGTTGAAATTATAAGAACCAGGCACTTTTTACAGCCAAATTTTGTATATTTATTGAATCTGAATTTATAGGCTATTAGGATTTAACTGAGAGATTAGTTTTTTCAGATCTTCTTGGTGGCATCTGGAACAGCATGTTTTCATTCACAATAAATATCAGCGCTGCTGCTGCTTACCTCTGACACTAGCTGTGTGCTGACAGCTCTTGCTAGAGCCTGTGAAATAAGACACTTTTTTGCCTGTCTCTAAGTTTATGAATAGTGACTGAGCAAACAATGCGTTCTACTTGATGCCTTGTTTCAGACACCTCGGAGGCAGAAAAGGCTGTTCTGTAGGTACCACGATGGAAACAGAAACCCCCATCTGCTCATAGCTCCCTTTAAAGAAGAAGATGAATGGGACAGCCCTCATATTGTACGCTACTATGATGTCATGTCTGATGAGGAAATTGAGAAAATTAAACAACTGGCGAAACCAAGGGTGAGTTTCCCTTCATCTCACTGACTGCCAATCAAATGCTTTCGATCTGTGAGCAAAGGCTAGGCGAAGGATTTGAGAGTATGATTTCATCCTGCAGATAACACACTGTGAAGCTAAGGGGAACAACTTCAAAACTGCCTGGTGATGTAGGACCCTAAAGCCCAGGCTCCTGAAGGTGTTTATGCAATGTTGCATTTAACTGTGCAAAATTCCTCAGTAAATAAGGACTGGACTTGGAAAAGTAGGTGACTGCCTGGCTTACAGTGTAGATGCCCAACATACCTTCAGTCAGCTTCTTGAAATGAGGCTGAACTGAACTGCAGCACCTTCAACCTATGATGTGAGCGCACACAAAAATAACCCCACAAAGTTGGTGCTTTTTATCTGACTTTCCTAGAGGTGGAGTTACCAGTCTGTTTCCTTTCTGGCAATGTGAGATCAGCAGTAGATGCTCCGTCTTTTGTGCTTGCCGGGTCTCACAGGAGAGTAGAATTGTATAGGATCAGTTCATTCTAGTGCTTTTGTAGCTCCTGCTAACAACTGTGGTGATAAAATTCCAGGCAAGGATTGCCTGCATGCATTTCTAAATGTAAACATAAACACTTACTGATGTTTACATGGTTTGAGGAACTGATACTTCTTCAGACACCCAGAATTATTTGTTATTCTGGACTTGTGAGTACTGGCTAGCTGTGGGAGTGCTGGCAGAACACTTCCCTCTCAAAGAGGATTCTCAGCTCTACAAACAGACTTTTCCTATTATGTCATACTGTAAAACTTTGAGCCTCAGATAAAATAGAAACATTGAAAGATTGAATCATTAAATCTATTTTATGAAATCAAGCGCCTTCTAAATAGGGCAGCTATTAGGTTTTTTTGGTTTTACAGCTTTTGTTCAAAGCTTTGATAGAAAATATTAGGACTTGCTAAGTTTTGCTTATGTCAGTAATGTGAAAGGAATTCTTCATGTTACCTATGCAGCTGTAGGATGAGGATCAGTACAACTGGAGGTAAATACTGTCATCTTAAGATTCAGGTTTCTTTAATTACAAGAAAGTAGTTCCTTTTAACTTATTACTCAAATCTGTCTGTTCTGTAGGAAGAGCAGCTCTGAGTTCTGCAGTACTACTGAAATGCTGGAAAATGCTGATCTTGTGATGAGATGATCATTAACGCAGCTTAATTTCTGTCAGGAAACTTTAGTTAATAAGCATGGAAGCTTTGAGACAAGCTCTGAAGCACTGTGTTAGTTTGGGGCTTGGGAGGATATTTCCTTGTATTTACAAGAGACTTCTACTTCTGGGTCTAAACACTCCATATTATCTACAGTTTATGCTTGCCAGTATTTCTTATTTTGTAGAGAAACAACATCTGTATGTGATACTCAAGTTGGTCTTCGTTATTATTTTGCAAAATGCAATTGCTTTCACTCCAGTTCCAAGAAGTAGTTCCAACTTGACAGGCAATACATCAGAGCTGACTGTGTCAGCTTTCAGTGCTGGAAATGGTCACCAAAACTCTTAACTTTGTTGGTGTGGGAGCCTGAAAAGGCAAAGAGATGCCACTGGATCCAAATGCAAAGGGCAGAAATCAAGCAGGCATGTGCAAGCTCAAGCAGCAGCATAATAGAAAGTTTAGAAAGCGAAATTGCATCCCCAAAGCTGTGCTTCATTGCACAGTGAAGAACAACGTTGTCAGCCTGCTTATTCTGCTGTGATTTACGCAGGAGAGATCTGGAGCAGAGTAACTGAGTCAGAATTAGATGAGTAGATGTGCCAGGAGCTCTTGTGTAGGGACGAGACAAGGACTGTAAAACTGGCTGGAGGCTCATTTGAGGAGAAATGAAGGAAATAGCTGCCTACTGTGAAGAAAACGCAAATAAAAAGGTTTTCTGGGGCCTGTAATTAAGCGGAAGGAAGAAGGCAGGATTTTAAGTGTTTGTGGTTTTCAGGAGTTAAATTTAAATGTGGTTTGACTTTGCAGTCAGACAAATGAGTGTCCCAGTTCTTGTTCTCAGTCGCAAGTACGAAACCCACGTTGCCTGTTAGCAAGCAGCAGCCTGCTGCTTTGCTGCCACAGTGAGTCTGGTCAGTTCTGCAAGGTTCCAGACTCCTCCTATATGCTACCTATATGATGTGGCCTAACAGTGATGCATTATTTGCTGTGCAAAATGCATGGATGTGCTGTTATAAAAGTATCTGTCGCTGAGAGCAGATGTTGCAGGCATTTTCCAATTGGGAAAATCTAAGTGTGGTAATATTGAGTCTTGTCCTCAGGACGAGTGGGTTTGTCTGCCCTGTAATTTGTAATTCATTTTGCAAATGTTTTCATCTGTTTTTTTTAAATCTAAGAATGAGCTTTTTCCAGTCCACATGAGGAGAGGGCTGATTAAATGTATGCAGCATCCAACAATTCTTCCTGCCAAGAGCATAAGCTTCATATGTTGACTTTGTTGTTGTTCCATCTTGTTAATATGGACTCCAGCTGTTTAAGAAGTCTTTTTATAAGGTACCTCAGTTAGCACTACTTGTGGATTTAATGGATATCATGGCTTTTGCAGTCAACTGCTTATTCTAGAATCAGCTGCAGGTGATGGATTGCGTTTGCATTTTTGTGTGTACTGTTCTAGCCTGAAACTGGAACAAATTCTTGGTTGGAGTTTAACTTTCATGCTGTGATACGTTGAAATTTGATAAAGCAGCTGCTGATATTGTTAGGATTGAAGTCTATTTTCTTGATCTGTAGTTGATGTTTCTTCCTGTTTGGGATTTTTTTGGCACAGCTGGCACGAGCCACAGTTCGTGATCCCAAAACCGGTGTCCTTACAGTGGCTAGCTACAGGGTATCAAAAAGGTAAGCATAGAGAAGAGTTCAGCCTTAAGTTTTCTGTGCTTAACAGCCCTCGTGTGCTACCTTCAGTGGAAAACTAGAAATACTTTGCATGCAGCAAAAGCTGGCACAACAAATGCATGGTAAATGTCTCATCTGTGTAACTTAGGGTAGAAGAAATCCTCTTTTGGGGAAACTGGTGGCTGGGGCTTCGTATTCTAAAACATTTTATTGTTTCCCGTTCCCTTCTCTTGCCCTAGTTCATGGTTGGAGGAAGATGATGATCCTGTTGTGGCTAAGGTGAATCAACGAATGCAGCAGATCACGGGGTTAACAGTGAAAACAGCTGAGCTGTTGCAGGTTGGTACACTTTCACCTTACCAGGATGAGATCTGACAAGTAGCTCTTTAGTGGGGTGAGATGGTATTAATCCAGAAACAAACATCAGCATTGCTCCTAACCAGCTCCTCCTAGGCGTTCTGTTAACTGAACACATGGGTGAGTGGGTGAGTAAGGTCATGAACACCATCTCCCAGATCAGACACATACTAGGGAAACACCCATGCTCACATTCTGCCTCTTCAGAGGAGGAGGGAGTAAGTGTGATAGCAACTGTTGCTGCATGTTCGTGTTTATCAGGTTGTTGTGGTGATAAGCAGAGAGTGCTGCTGCTAAGAAACATCAGTACTGAGAAATTCTCAGTGGAACCCTTAAACTGAAAGGGAGGGAACACTCGGTGCTTATCTGCACACCTCATTACTGGCAATTTGAAGAAAAATGAGTTAAGTGGATATCTATTATGCAGATAACAATCTTGCCACAGAGCACCGTTTCTCAAAGGATGTTTTGGATCTTTGAGAGTTATCTTATGCAGCAGTCATGCAGCTCACTATATAAATCTATTTTGCTTTGTTCTTCTGTAGGTTGCTAATTATGGAATGGGAGGGCAGTATGAGCCACACTTTGATTTTTCTAGGGTAAGATTACTTTTCCAATTACTCCTTGGGTGTGGAGTGAGGGTGGGAACAGATCATTTTGGGAACTGTTGAAACCCTTATTAAAATGTCTTTTCTATTAAAACACTCTAATGTATAGCCCAGTTGCATGGAATGGATTATGACCTCTGGAAAACTCTCATTCCTTTCTCTGGTGCTGGAAGTTCAAGAGGCTGATGAACAAATCTGACTGCCTGCTTTTGTCCCTTTGGTTCCTTGCATAGTGCAGAGAGATTGAGAGATAGTCATACTGCTCTTATATGTACTCCTTCTGTTACCCTACTAGGAAACTTAGCCCTGGATGGAGATTGAATTGTTCCATTGGGTTTATAAATCTAGCAAGGTTTTCAGTCCTCTTTTGGGTATTTTAAAGTACTTTGGCTGAGCAGGTGATGTCCCTCCAAAAGAGCAGCGTTTATGGAAGTCTTTGAGTTGGAACCCTTCTGATAAAAGCCTTAAGAACCGAAAGCCTTAAGCTGCGATTGCAGCTGTAGGAGGTCAGCAGGGTTTTGTCACCTCTGTCTGGGATGCCAGTGCTGTGGTGGCGGCAAGGGAACTTACTACTGGCACTTGTTGGATCTGTACCAGGCACTAGAGGGCTCTACCTGGCAAGTGTGAGCTCAGGTTGGCTGTGAGAGAAGACAATTCTTTACTGCAGTTGTTCTGGTACACGAATCATACTGAAGAGCTGTGATGGCTGGCTGTTATAAACACGAAATCCATCTGTGATGCCTTGGTTTCCAGGTAGAATCGTCTCTTCAACTGAATCCATCTTAATTCAATCTATTCCAGTATTTTTACCTGATAGAAAGAATGGATTGCTGCAGCTGGAGGGTAACCCAATAATTGTGAACAGGATTGAGGGGCCCTACTTAATGCTGTTCATAAATAATCTTAATCCCCAGCACTGTGGAAGCTCCTACTCGTTAGCTTTGGCCTGTTGAGAGAATTTTTCTGCAAACTTTAAGACTGCTTTGTTTCCAGAGTGAAGTCAATGCTCTAAAATTCTCTTCAAAGCCTTTGAACTCAAGGACCTCAGATATCAATTTGGTCATTATGGTCTTTACTTTTGGATTAGGCAGCTGGGACAGAGCTCCCTTTGGAACATAGCCTTGGCTGCAGTCATCAGTTAAAGCAGGGCAATGGGGAGTTTGCCGTGGGCTTGGGCTGGTCTGCCAGGCTCTGTGCGTCACAGATTCCAGTACTGGAATCCAGAGACATTGCTCTCTCACTGTCTGATCAGCCTCACAGCTTTTTGTTCCCTTACAGCTCTCAGATGGGGAAGCTTTAATACTTAAATATTTCAACTTTCAAATCGTGTACTTAAAAGTTACAGGAGAATCTTATATATTGAAGCTCAGGAATGCATGGCTGGACCTGAGTTTGGCGGGGGTCTTGGGAACAAGGGGACTCCTATGTGAGCTTCTATGTTGGCTATTAGATTGAATTTGCATGTACTGGTGCAGGAAGTTTGTGCTTGTAGTTCTTAGTGTAAACCCATTTCAGGAAAGTTGTTGTTGTAGTACAATCTACTTGCTTATTTCAACATCTGAGAGTTTTTCTTGCTGTTTCTCTCTTCCTAATGCTGCTTTCTGCTTTTTTTTTTGTGTTGAAGATTACTTTTGTATTGAAGAATTCATCTTAACGTTACTTGGCTGAATCTTGTTGACAATTAGCAATATGTATAAACCTCTAATTGCATTTTTCTTTGTGCCCTTCAGAAGTGCTGGGCTTATGGGTGTTTTCTGCTTATAAACTGGCATCTGTATGCTCTCATACTTCAACCAATGAAAGTCACAACACTTGATCTTCTTGACTATGGTCCTTAACTCTAGATAGACAGCCACTTGAGATAAATTACTGCTATTCTAATTTGTTGCTGTTAGAAATAGATTTTCTTATGACATTTCTTTGAGATGATCACACACTGAGAATCTAATGTCTTACCTAAATGCAGTTCAAGCTGAATTTTTCATAACCTCAGTTGTTGACTTTAGACCAGTGTCCACTGCAATAACAGCCTGTTGATTACTTAAATACCACCTGAAAGCACTGCTGCTACTCTAATGCCCTGAGAATTACTTGCGTGCTACTTCTCCTTATAGCACCGGAGTGCGATGTGCATGCATTTATGCACTGTGGCTGCAATCTGTGATGGCTTTAGTGCTGCCCTGTGAGTCCCCTCTTAATTCCAGCTCTTTGAGCCTGAGGCTCTTCATGCAGAGCTGCATATGTAACTCTAGTGTGAGCCCGTTCGGAATGAGAGGTTAAAGTTGTTGTCTGTTACAGCGACCCTTTGACAGCACTCTCAAATCGGAAGGAAATAGGCTAGCGACGTTTCTTAACTATGTAAGTACCTTTGTTTGTCTGCTGTCTGTGAGCTTGAAGTTTGCAGTTATTCTCATTTAATTTTATAGAAAGATGAGCCAGATGCTTTCAAGCGGTTAGGGACTGGAAATCGTGTGGCCACTTTTTTAAACTATGTAAGTATGATGCTCCTTTGTGAATTGGGTGTAACTCGGTGATGTTTTGCTTGCAGTGGGCACAGTTGTTTGTAGAGGTTTGTTGGTGTTTGGAAGGAGAGTCTTTTAACTCTTGCAGCATCAGGTGCTGTCCTGTTTGAACAGAACTGGGACTCCTGGACAAACCTAGATTCTTACAGTGAATAATTTTTATCTTATTCTCTGCTGGCTGTACATGGTCAAAGGCATTTCACCCTTTGTCCCATGCACGACATATCAAACATGTACTGATGTCTCTACTAAAGAGTGGTTTGTTGTTAAGGTGTAGGTATTAACTTGCAGAGTTGCATGCACAAGCTGTGCTCCTATGGCATCTTGTGCCCTTTTATTGTAGGTACCGAGCAGGAGGACACCAGAGTAGTAATAACATCTGCTTTCAACAGAAATCCTAGTTGCAGTGGAGAATGTGGGGATTGCTTTTGATTGTTTACACTTTGTGGGAAATGGATGTGACTAATCTGTTTCTGATCCATTAGTTCCTCACCAAAAACTTACTGAGAACAGTGAAAACATTACTTAGTTTAATGGAAGTGTTTCCAGGACTTTGGGTTTTGAGTCACATCTGTAGAGCTTAAAGTGAATCCATCACTGCTAACAAATGTAATAGGTTTAAGTTCATTCCAGCGTAGAATGGCAAAGCATAAAGATGTAAGCATTTCTTCAGAGCCTCGTTGGTGTGTGTATTATTAAAGCACTTGAAGTAGAATAGAACTACTGGGGAACAGCAAAGAAACTGTGCAGAAAACTGAGGTCTTCCACTTGCATTGTTGTTTTTTTGAAGTGGTTGACCAAGATGCTAAACTAAATCATGAAAATGAGTTCCAAGGACACGGTTTCAATTTGAGGAAATGTGGTTTAACAGGCACTTATTTTTCTAATTGAACCATAAACCAGAATGAAATTCTGAAACTAACTTACTCTGAAGTCTTCTCCCTCGTTTTGGAGGACTGGCTTATTAATGCTGCAGGTTCAGTTTTTTTTATGGCTAATTTGTATAATATGTACTTGTAGATCAGCACTTCATCAAGCTTACATATGAATAAAAGCCTTCAGTTGAAGTAACAGCCTTCAGTAATCATCTTAGCAATTCATGCTGGTTGAAATCCATCTCTTCTTTGTTACTGCAAGTCACAGAGGTGTGAGCTGTGTTAGGACAAGGGGCACTTGAACTTGGGGAGCCATTTATATGAAAGGTGTTGTAAATGATTGGTTTGAGTTTTTCTCACTTTGTTTTGTTAGATGAGTGATGTGGAAGCTGGAGGAGCTACAGTTTTCCCAGATTTTGGGGCAGCCATATGGCCCAAGAAGGTAAAGTCACTCTGTATGGCTGCTTTTCATCTCCCTTCTCCATTTACTGTCTTTTCTCATTAGTCTTGTATCTAAGTCAGTTAATGTGCTTGTGCAGTTTACTTCATTCTTAGAGTTTATAGTGGGAATGGTTTCAATATAGAGCTGTTATTAAATCTTGTTTTCAATCTGTGAACACAACTGAATTAGAGTTGAGAGTAAGTTGGCTTTTCCATGTGCTGTTATTTGTGACCTATGCCGAGGTGTTTCATAAGAGCTTGCATTTGGGTTCTTGGGCATTATCCCTCTTCCTCACGTCAATGACTTCAGCATGTTGGCTGGGTTCTGGCTAATCCACATCTGGTATCTTTTCTGCAGGGAACAGCAGTATTTTGGTACAACCTATTCAGAAGTGGTGAGGGTGATTACAGAACAAGGCATGCAGCTTGTCCAGTGCTAGTAGGGTGTAAATGGGGTAAGTAAAACTCCTTTAGGAACAAAACCATTGGTGTATACAAAGATGGTGATATGCTGAACCATTATACCAGCATTTAATAACCTGAGTATTGCTGTTTTAACTGTTGGAGTCATTTAGCAATAATGAAAGCTCACGTATTGATATGTAGCATGAAGCAGCTACATTGCTCAGCTTTTGTAGCAGTAACATTGCAAAGCATGTGAGAGTGGGCTTATGTGGTATAGGACAGCTGTAAAATGATCTGGGTTGGAGGGATCTTAAAGATCACTTGGATGTTCTCAGGTTTTTCCCTATACCTCCATCCCCCTTTATTTTCCCAAAACATCTTTCCTGGCTGTGTTGTCTGATCAGATGGGTGCTGCTGTGCTTTCTGGAGGCAGGCAAAGCTGACTTGCATGGCTCATTGCAGACAAATGCTCCCTCTTGCCTTGGATGCCCATAGTCTGTCAGCAATGATCTACTTCCTACTTTGGCTGCCTGGACACTGGGAAATTGAGTTGTCTGCTGGAAGTAGCTTATGTCTGCTGTCATCCATTTCTGAACCCACCTCCCACGGCCTCTGTGGTGTTCTGAGTGTCAGAGCACAATGACCTGTAATGACACCAGATCCAAAATACGTTGTCTTGCTATTGCTGGCCAACTGTGCAACTGGAAATCTTCCCAGTCCTGTGAATCTTTGTTTCTCATTGGATGGGTGGAGAAGTATAAGACCTCCGTGGAAAGAAGTCTGGGTTGTAGTGCTATACAGAGACCATGGGTGCATGGTGGTAACTAATTCCATGTCTTTGTTCCACAGTTTCAAACAAATGGTTTCATGAAAGAGGAAACGAATTCTTAAGACCTTGTGGGAGAACAGAGGTTGACTGATATCCAGCCTGCTGCAGACCTTTGTTTCTTTGTCTCCTTTTCTACTGTTGGTCCTTCCAGTTCATTTCTAAGAAATGATCCATTTCTTTTTTTCCCCCAAGAGTCCTGGCACTTGTCACAAAAAGACAAATGTAACACCTGTGAGTGAAAGTAAATGGCTTTGTACACATCTCTTGTCTTCAGTTGCTGTCATTTGTCTCCACCTTCCCTCTCCCCTGCCACTTCCATCACTTTACTGGTCTTCCACCCTCAGCGTTCTGTTTGGTAATGGTGCAAACGATGCTGTGGGTGATGCGGAATGCTTGGGTGCCTGGTCTTGTGCCTTTTGTACCTCAGAAGTTTTAGATGTTAAATATTTCTTCAAACCAAAGTTTTTTTAAGTTTTGTGTACATGTTAATTTTATTGTATTGCTATGGACTATGAGTTTTGAAATAAATGTTCTTTCAAAAAAACTTGTTTGTCCATGATGGATATCAGTACTGGATTTAGGGAACGGGGGGCCTCTCTTTCCTCCTTTTCTGAGGGTCTGTTTCTTCATTACCCTTTCTTTTAGAAAAACAACATGGCTTTGGACAGTGCTAAAGGTTGGAGCATGACAATTCTTGCAGCTTCTACTGAAGCTGGAAAGATTAATTTGTTTTGAAACTGTACATAAGAGCAGGCAGGCTGTGTGCTAATGGCCAGTGGGCAGCATGATCTCAGTATCACACTCATCATAAGTCCTGCCCAGTGTTACTTGTGAGAGGCTTTCAGGAAAACCTGATGCCCTTTGCAAGCAGTTGTGACCATCCTTAATTGTAAGAGTAACTGTCACTGATGTAATGCTGACTGCTTTTCCCTATGGGAGCACTTGATCTGGCAGTTGTTAATATCCTAACGTAGGAGACAGGTTTGTAAGTGGAAGGCACTTCAATTACATTAAGACTTCCAGTAAGTCCTAAAGTCAAACATAATGAACACTGAGTTCCTTCTGAGTTTCTTTGCACAATATACAGTGGAAAAAGTGCAAAGACTGAGCTAGAAGGCAATATTAAAGCAGCTCTCAGGCACTCCCAGTCACCTAGACCATCCCCATTTACCTGCTCCAGGCTCAGTGAAGTTGAGCAACTGTTTCTGCAGGGCAGGGTTTAGTAGTTGCTGCCTAATCTCACAGCACTCCTTTGCCTGCCATGAATGTTGTGGTTGTTGGCAGGCTGCTCAGAATATTTCATTTCTGACCTCTGCTTTTTCCTAGTAAAATCTCTCAGCGCAGCATAAACTTGGGAAACAAGGAGCTTTGCTTTATTACAAAGCATTCAACACGACTGCCTTGCAGATGTGAAGAACTGATGGTGAGCCAAACCCCCAATTTCTAGTTGGACCACTTTGACTCTGTGGGGAGGAAAAAAAATCTACTTAGGCTTTCTGTCAACATACCATGTTGACAGCTGAAGTTCACATCAGACCTCCAGCCAAAAACCTGTACATCCTCCTGAAATTGTGTTGTTGGCTTGGAAATGCTGTTGTTAGCAGAGTTATATCACACTGAACCCTTAACACTGATTTTTTTGCTTGTTTTCTCTAAGGAAAAGCTTTTTTTTTTTTTCCAGTTGTCTTCCAACTTGATTGAGACCATCCCTGAAGTGGGATGCAGAACTGCTAGAACACTAAAACTGCTTATTGTGCTGTACTGAGATAAGCTTACTGCTAACATGAGCTGAAGCATAATGCTTATTGCAGGGAGAAGAGCACATGTGACTTGGGGGCATTCCATAACCTTCCAGGCATGTCTGTGCAGTTTGTCAGATTATATTCCCTATTCTGTCTTGTACCATACTACAGGCTGAACAGAATATGATGGTAAGCCTAAAATGAAGCTTGCATGCTAGTTTTTAGACTTAGAATTCTTATGCTGAAATTCAGGGAAGGGGAACTTCTGTAATGTATCACTGCTGTGATACTGATAGCTGCTTAAAAGTTTGGTTTGGACTGAGTCTTCTGATGCATTGCTGACTCTGCTTTATTTTGTAGGGTCTGAGTACTTGGCACAGATATTTATGCTTTGGGATCTTTCAGAGCTCTTTGGGCCCTGTCTGTTACTCACTGATGTGGTCTTGTAGGTACTGATGGAAGCAGATACCACGTGAATTGTCATGGAGCTATGGTCTCTTATCACCGCTTTTGTACTCATAAGAGGAGCAGCCACCCCCAGCCCGTGCTGGTAATCCACATCCAATGTGAGCATGTGGTTTCTTAAACCATGGCCTCAGCCCAGCTGTGTGGGCATGTGGTGTGTTGCCAAGCAGTACTGCAGCCCTCCGTGCAGGTTAGGAATCACCTAAAGCACAGACATTCAGCTCTGTAGACTCTGTGAAGGATGTTATCTTCTGTGTTAGAAACTGCTGCTTTCTGATTACAGTGAGAAAGCATCTCCTATCTAATTGCCTGAGAGGGGAAAACCAACATTTGGCCTCAAGGGTAGAGAGTGGCACCTGTGATGGTGCAGGCAGCACTGCTGCTCCTCACGGCTGCAGCAGCTCAGGCCCTGAGCTGTGATGTCTCCCAGCCCCTCCTGCTGTGATCTCGCAGCCTTTGCTTGGGTTCCTTCACTTTCATCTCAGCTCTTGAATGAGAAGCAACAAACAAAAGACTTCCGCCTCCGTGCGATGTGTGAACTCGTATGCTCTGCTACCACCCACAGCCTCAGTCTGTCGCTTCCTCAAAAGTGTTAATTTTTTCCTGCTGCCCTGCTCTGCCTCCACTCACGCTGCAGTATCTCAGCAGTGCTGTGGGCTGTGAGAGGCAGGAGCAGAGCTGTCCCTGGGACCCATAGAATTGTAGAATGGCATGGGTTGAAAAGGACCACAATGCTCATCCAGTTCCAACCCCCTGCTGTGTGCAGGGTCAACAACCAGCTGCCCAGAGCCACATCCAGCCTGGCCTTGAATGCCTGCAGGGATGGGGCATCCACAGCCTCCTTGGGCAACCTGTTCCAGTGCCTCACCACCCTGTGTGAAAAACTTCCTCCTAATATCCAACCTAAACCTCCTGTCTCACTTTAAAACCATTCCCTCTTGTCCTATCACTACCCACCCTCATAAACAGCCATTTTCCCTACTCTTTATACGTTCCCTTCAAGTACTGGAAGGCCACAATGAGGTCTTCCTCCAGCCTTCTTTTCTCCAAGCTAAACAAGCCCAGTTCCTTCAATCTTTCTTCATAGGAGAGGTGCTCCAGCCCTCCATTCATCTTAGTGATCCATATTTTCAGCGCACCCTGCTTGCTCACTATGTGCAATGTTTTTCACCTTGTAGAGTTTGGCTTTCCATCCCTGGGGCCGGGGAGGGCACAGCAGGAGATTGGGGCTCCAGGAGAAGAGCCTTTGCTCCCTCCTGGCTTCACATATCCCCTCCCAGGGCAGCTCTCTTGTGTGCAATGCCTATGGTGGAAGGGCAGCTGTGCCCCTGTGCTTGTGGGGAGAGCTCTGCACAGCCTGCATGGCTGTGGTTGGTTTGTGCTCTCTGCTCTACTTTGATGACCTGGGTTTTCTCAGTAAGCAGCACGATGCACTTGCAGGAAGTGGGAAACAGTGAGCAGTGTTTGGTTGAGAAGCCGTGAAAGCTGGGGTACATTTAATCTTAGAGGCAAACAGTAGTGAGGAGCTCATCTCCTACTGTTATTTATTATGGTCACTTCCTCTAGGTTGGTTCTTTGCAGGTTTTTTCCAGTGTTACGCTCTTCTATTTCTACTGTACCTGTCCTAAATTTGAAGACAGACACCGGAGTGAATAGTGGGCACTGACACAGCCCTGTCAACAAAATGCCACGGATGTGCTCTCGCACCAGAAAGGAACAAAACAAACAGATTACACACACTGCTGCCAGAAATTGCATGAAACATTGCTTGCTGCAAGCACTGGGGCTGTGGAGAGGTGCTCAGTTTGCCACATGTGAGCAGACACCTCCCAAAACCAGCAACATCCAATTTGAAATACATGAAGTGAAACTGAAAACAAACTCCTCCTTCCTGAAGCCCTGCTTTCTTGCATGTGAGTGATTTTCACCTTTTGGAGCAGTGCTCACTGTGCTGCTGCCCCTCGGGGTGAAGGCATTACAACGAGCACAATGCAACGTACGTTTTTCCATAGGATGAGTCAGGAATCCAGTTACTGCACACTGTCTGCATGGTAAGGTAATGAAAGATCTCACGAAGAGGGGTAAACACAGAAGTGGTTCTGCCTCCTTGGCTTGTTTGTAGTAAATATATTTTACCCAACTTTAGCAGCTTCTTTAACTCGTGGGGTAAGGTTGTGGCCAGCTGATGCCTGGGGAAGTTCATCTGGTATCTGCAGAGTTTGGTGCATGAGAATAGCCAGTGCCACCAATCCTGTCAGTGCAGCTTGTGTCCCGTTGTACAGGCTCACTGCCACCTGGGGACACCTCAGGGTGAGCTGTGCAGGCTGGGGGTCACTGGAGATGACACCCAGAGCTTGAGAGATATTGGAGAGGCTCATCCCAAAGTATAAGACAGAAAACTGATGGTTGTGCTTCACGCCAAGGGACAGAAAGAAACACCATGAGCTCATACGTGCTGCTGTTTGTGCAGCACTGTTAAGCAGCAGTGAGCACAGCTCCAGCACAGGGCACCATCCAGATGCTTCCCTTGCCAAACCCCGGGTGATGCAGTACATTCAGGAGCGAAGGTGACAGCTCTGACCTGATGCAGACACTTCACAAGGAGTTCGTGCTGTAGGGCTGGTCTGAGTCATCACACACACCTGAAACCTGGGAGATCAGAGCAGCAAAATGAGACAAAGCTGAGCTCTGCTTCTAGCAAATGGTTTTCCCAGAAGGCTTCAGACACCTGTGTGCCTGGAACCTGGCGGGGCTGGGTCTTGTGGGTTGGTGGGTTTGCTGGCAGCAGAATGCTGTGTGCTGCTCTTCCTGGGACACTGAGCAGTGTAAGGTCTTCTATGGGGTGTTGACAGAGGGTGCCCTGTGCTCACCTCCCAGGGTTGCATCGTCTCCTTTTCTGCTGCTTGTTGCAGGCCTGAAGTGGAGTGCCTGAGCCAGGTATTGGGGTTACAGTTCTATTAAAATGGGGTGGCAATGATGCTTTCAAGAGCTCATTTTTGTTGTAAATTAATCTATCCTGGTTGCAAAGCAGCACTTGGAGAAATTATTTGGAGGTGGCTGAGTGCTTTTCTGAGTGGTGTAATCCTCCACAGGTGCTTTGGTGTAGAGCAGCTATTAGTTCTGCAAGCAGCAGTTCCAAGCAGACCTTTTCATGTGATGTGGATTGCTTGTAGGTATGGAGGCATCTGAGATGTTGCATTATTAAACTGATAGCTATAACTTGAAGAGCTTTGGAAATAAGAGCTAAGAGCAAACAGGTTGTGCCTCACGTTGCGTTTTAAGGCTCTTGCAATTTGGAAATGCTGCTGCTGTTGGGAAGCTGCAGAATTGGAAGAGCTGCAGCTAAGGAGAATTCTGCAGAACCGAGATGCTGGGCTGAGTAACAGTAGGACGAAAGGTGCTCTGATGAGTCATTTGGATCCTGCCTATATTGCAGAGAAGTCACCTGCGCGTCGGGAAGCTGCACTGTGCTTCCTGTGGGCTGCCAGGGCCGGGCGCTGCGGGATGGGGACGTGGCAGATGCAGGGTTTTGTGTTGGAGCTCTGCAGGGTGGGGATGTTATGAGTGCAGGGCTCTGTGCTTCCTTTGCTGGGAATGCAGCTGAGCTGTGCAGGAAGCTGAGGCACGGCGATGACCACTGCGTGCGTTCTCAGCTCCTGCTGCTCTTCAACCACAGCCTTATTGTGGGCCGTGGGCTGAGGGAGGGTGCTCCTTGCATCTCACCTTTTGTTCTTGATTTTTGTAGCTATTGTTTATGACTCCTCAAAAGTTGAAATATGCTGTGAACGTCTCCCATTGCAGGCTGCACCCGTCAGCATCTCCGTTCCTGTAGCATCCTGTCTGCAGCAGCAGAGCCAGCAGGTAAGTGTCTTTCCATGATGCAACTTGCTGATACAGTGAGGCAGCCTTTGACCAGTGGGAACAAGGTTTGCACTGATGGTGCATTTTTTCCCCCCCACCATTTAATCAAAAATAAGCAATTCCTCAATGGCGGTGTTTAAGCTGAAGTAGAACAGCCACTGTTTTGCAGTGTTTGACGTTGAAGTGGGTTCTGGGGAGAATTGCTTAACAAAAACACAATGTCTGGGTTCCAAGAGTGGGCGCAGGTGGCCTGGTGCTGATTGCTGTGCATCCATTACTGAAGGGGCAGCAGGGCAGTGTGCTCCCTGTGCTGCTGCTGCCCACGCAGATGGCTCAGACTTTGTCATAAGGGCGGGGAAGAGATGTTTAATTGGCAGTAATAAGAATTAAAATCCTTCTCACATGGAATGTATCACATGTAAAATATGCGTGAAGACATGAGAGCCCAGCGCTTATGGAAGTTGTTAGAACGGAGACTGTGCTGCTGCCAATGATATCAGATCCAGATTTCACTTTTTTCTGACTGCCTTTGAGAATACTTGGAGTTTTGTGCTGCAAAGTCTGGATGAAGGTTTAAATAGCTTAGGAAATAGCATGTAGAGAAATAGGGTGAGTTCAGGACTGTTCCTGAGGGGGAGCAGACTGGATTTCTGCAGAACTGAAGCCTTTGGGAAATTATTTCTCTTGCATTTCCCATAGAGATACTGGTGCTGGCGTCTGTAGTTCCAGTCTATGGATTTCTGATGGAGTGTTACTGCAAATGAATGATTTAATGCTTGCTATTTCTTCCCCTGACTTTTTCTTTTTTGAGTAAGGTATTTCAAAATCATTTTTCCACTCTGTATGATAGTGCTAATATTATTAGAGACAGTTCTGGTGCCTCTGAATAAGAACAGGTGTTTCACCCCCTGCAGCTCATTGCATTCATGACTCGAGGATGTGGCTAACAGCTCTGTCTTTAAAGAGAAAAACAAAGCTTGAAATATCTCTGCAGTGATAAATAGGTACCGTAGCCTCAGCGCCCCGTGTATTTCCTCACTCTTCGATAAAGGGATGGGAAGGGAGAAACCATTTCAGTGCTGAAAGTGTCCGACTGCCTTCTTTGGGTTAAATCCTGCGGGTTTGGCATCGTCTTCTTCCTGCCTTGACTTCAATATTGCTTTCAGATTGCCGTGGTGGTAGATGCTATCAGCCATCCCCCCTCAAGTGGGCCTCTTTGTTTTTCCATAGAAGTATTGATGTTAAGCACAACGTGCACCAGAGTCTCTCATCGTCTCTGCCCAGCTCTGGTTGCTTTCTCATCCAAATCCCACATTTTGTGATGGCCACATTGAGGCTCAGTGCGATTCCCTGCAGCCCATTGCTTGCTCTGCTCTCGCCAACCACTGAAGTGGTGATGTGGTGTGCGCCCCTACAGCAGGGTGGGAGGAGCAGGGGGAGGGCTGCTCCAAGCGTGTCATTTGTACCAGAAGTCTGATTCATCTGTTGGAACAAAAACTTGTGGTGTTACTTGTTTCCAGTGAAAGCCTCCTGGTAGAGACATGAGAGCTCTCTGTAATGCTGTGTGAATGCTACCTTCCTTTCTGATTTCAGCTGCTGTGCGTGGTTGGTAGGGATTGGTAGCACGAGATGGGAGCTGGTGCATGTAGGTAGGGCAGGAGCTGTTGTGTGCGTGCATTGAATGACAGCACAAGCACCCAGGTTGGTGCTGGGAGCTCCTCCCTGCAGAGATCTGGCAGCTCCCTGGCCGTGGGGATGGGCACCTGGCTCAGGTGGGACCCGGTGGCCACAAGACCTCAGGCAGTGTGGGTTCAGTGCTTGCAAGCAATGATTGCTTTGGGGTGGGCTGGTGTGGGAGGCCATCACCTCCAGCTCCACATGTCCCAGTGCCTGACAGGCTCAGGGTGAGCAGCAGGACCTCCATCCTGGTTGCAGAGCTCACACATGGGACTTAGAAACCTGTGATCCAGAAAGTTGGATGCGCTGAGAAGTAAATGTCAATGTGGAGATAGTGAGCTAGAGCTGTGTGTGGGCACAGTGGGAGTGAGAGTGGGTGGCTCGGGTTTTACCTCTGTATGGACTTAAAGCAAATATGAATCATGCTCAGGGTGCTCGGGGCTTTCTGGTAAGGTCAATGGAATATCAGAACGCCATCGCTTCTGAAATAAGGCCAAGCATCGTGCTCAGAATGTTAGCAGTAAAATTAATGCTGATATTTTGGAGGTAAGGGCAGAGTGGGTTCTCGGAGCAGAATCCCAACACAGCTCAGCAAAGTCAGCCACAGGAGGTGTGAGATGGCACTGCCAGCTCCTCGAAATTATGGGCTCCTCCACAGTAAATGCCTCTCATAAAAGCATGACGACTCTGCCAGCCATCATGGTCCATATGTTGAGAGGTGTATCTGTCTGTGTTTCTGTGAGGTTTGTGATTCTTGGAATTAGTGACAGATACTGCTAATATGGATCAGCCCTTCGTGTGCGTGTTTGAGCAGACAGTTCTGGGCACTTTTCAGGTTTGATTCTGTTCTTTCTCATTGGGTTGGACAGGAGCACTTCTGTTCATCTCTAGGCTGTATGAAGCCAAACTAAGCATTCTTCAGTTCCTTTCTGTTCTTTAAACAGAAGTATTTCCTGGGATAGCAGTGCTGGTGAGTGAGGGAGATGCATCTCCTGGAGTAAAGCACTAGAAGAATGGGGAGTTTGCACACAAGCGATGTGGAACAGTGATTTCAGGAATGAGAAAATTGGAAGACAGCCACTTTAGAAGTGGTTTGTTTAAAACCTGCTGCTTTTTGAAGTGTGCTGGAAGGTGAGATGGAGCCAAGTGCGTGAGCAAATTCAGGTATTGCTCAGAGTGCTGAGCAGTGCTCGGTGAGGCAGGTTGAGTGCTGGCTGTCCCACTGGATGTGCATCATCTCTTATCTGCTTTCAGAGGTCACTGCACTCTGGGTCTTTCCATAGCAGTCATTGTGCACTGGGCACAGGCAATGCAGAGAGCTCAGCTGAGACCCACAGTGCAATTCCCGTGGTTGCTTTAGCACAAAGATATCCAACAGTTTGAAACCTTCTGAGCATGCTGGAGAAACACTTCTTTTGCACAGAAGTGTGGCAATTCAGCAGCTCTTCTGTGACGTAAATTGAAAAGGAGTTGTTGGTGCCCCATCCCTGGAGGTGTCTGAGACCAGGCTGGGTGGGACCCTGAACCGGTGGGAGCAACCAGCCCATATGATCCTTGAGGCCCTTCAACCCAACCATTCTGTGATGTATTCTATGATTGTAATGCTCAGAAAGATGCAAGCATCACTTCTGACATCCTGCTCTGCACTGAGTGCTGTTTGAGGTTTGGTGGACATGTTTTGGATAAATGTATGCTGAAAAACCCTGAAAAAACTGAGCTGAAGCTCTTTGGAGTGCAGTGAAAGGTGAAACATCCATGTTAATTTGGTCAGATTGCTATTGAAGCTTAATGCAAACACCACCAACAAGCAATGACGTCTGTGCAGATTGGGCTCTGGTGGTGCCACATTTCCAGTGGGGTTGCCCTGGATCCACTGAGCATCTCAGCCCCTTAGCCCTCATCCCCATGTGCAGACCCTTCCTGTCCCCACCTGACACACATGTGCAGGTCTGGGCTGTGTTTCTTGCCCCTGTGTGCACAAACCCCAGACCCAGCACCTTCCCTGCATCCCAGGTGCCACAAGCACATTTCCCATCTGATAACCACAGGCAGGGTAAATGATGACACTTGGCTGCGCGTGGTCGATAACGTTTTAATTGATGTCTTTGGTTTTCAGTCACTTACTTGCATTAGCTCTTAGCACAGATTCATGTTTTGTGGGAGCCCCTCCTTGCCCCTCATTCCCAGGCAGCCCCACTGCTGCTGTGGGAGCTGCTCCTACAGCCTCTCTCTGCAGGACTTCTGCAGCAGAGGGCAGCTGCTGTCGCTGCTGCCATCCAGATCCGACTTGTCCCTCACGATGTTCCTGCAGTTGTTTGTCTGGCTGAGCCACCTCAAGAATTCTTCCAGGTTGCTTCTGAATTTGGGGAAATCTGCTCTGATCTCATTGCAGGAATGTCCGTGGGTTGAATTTCTCTAAGGAAAAAGAGTAGGAGAGAAAAAGAGAGGAAAAAGCGATGCAGGAGTTACAGAGGCATTCTATCCCAAGGCTCTGTTATTCCTCAGGGCTCTTTAGCTGCCTGGGATGAGGCTCCAGCCCACAACTTTCCACCATTCTTGCAGACCAGCAGTGAATACAGCCCTGGCTATCATAGAATATCCCAGGTTGGAAAGGACCCATAGGATCATCAAGTCCAACTCCTATTTGTACATCCAATCTCCCTCGTAATATCCATGTCCTGCAGACACTGGGGAGCTTGGGATGCTCTGTGTGTCCCAGCAGCTCTGTGATCTCTGAGAGAACTAACAGGAGACTGAAGCAGAACAACAAGCATAGCAAGCAGATGGAGAACTGCAGGGAAATGTTTGAAACCACCACTGAACAGCAGAAGCTTACCTTCATAATCGTGCATTTGTCTCTTAGCTTTCTCATATCGCTTTTTACTATCTTCATACATGGAGATTCCAACTTGTTTAGCTGGTGAATAAACTCCTCGGTGTTGTTACAGGCACAGTTTGTGCACTAGAAGGAAAAAATGGGAAAGAAAATGGCGCTCTGGTTTGTAGGAGGATGTTAACTGTCCATAAACCATCTGGAATAAATCACCTACGATTTTTCTCTGGAGATATTTCTTAGTTATACCTTCCCTTAAGAGTGTGGAAGTGCAGTATTTGTAACTATTACAGACACAAATTCTGCAGAGGAAGTGCAGTTTCTGTCGATGGAGAATTTGACAACTCTTAGAATTGTTACTTCTATATGAGATTGTTTTGTCTTGGATGTAGGATGCTCATAGATAACTACTCCAAGCAGTTTTCCTTGTATTGCATCGTTCAGTGAGAAGACCTTACAAACATTGCTGGAAATCTCTCCTGAACAGCATTAAAAAGAACAGAGGGATACTGAGGAGGAGGCACCGTCTATGTCTGAGAGCTGTTAGAATGGGGTGCTAGCCATGTTTAAGCAATTTTTGAACAATATGATGTGATATATAGGGAAAGCAAGCAGAGCACTCATGGCTGTCCCTGAGCCAGCCTTGGGTCTTTGTGGTGGCCCTGTGCCCCTCCTGGGCCAGGTTTCTGAGTGCAGGTCCCCCCTGCCCCATGGCTCACAGAGCCGTTCTGGAGCCCAACAAGCCCTTCACTGCCATTGGGCACATTGCCCTGAAATGTCCCCAGAGCTTTTCTCTGTTATACAGTAAGCTGGTAAACTGTGAGTCCTCATGGCAATAAGGAATGAGAAACGTCCGCTCCTTACCGTTATGCAGGTCGGCGTGTCGAGCTGCTCCTGAAAAAGACAGAAACCTCCATGTTACAAATTGGAAATCACCTCGAGAAGCAAATCTGGCGTGGGGCAAGTGGAAAAGGGTTTACATTTTCATGCGTGTTTTCATTTTCAAGTAAGCAAAGCATTTCATCAATGATGGCAGATTTAGTCTTGCTCTGCAGAAGCGGTATTTCCTTTGGAGGCAGACGGTGGCTGGATGCACTCCAGCCGCACAGCAGCAGCAGCAGCACGTATGGATGCATTTGGAAGGTGCTGCACTGGAGGCTCGGACTCCAACCTGAAGAGTGCGTTGAATTCAGGCTCCTCTCTTCTGGCGGATGCTTGGCTCACTTATATAGAGAAGCTCAGTAAGGGCAGGATGTGATTACTCTCTTATCTCAATTACAAATCAATAAAGTAGGAAATAGGCGACAACTTGAGCCTTCGAATTAGCAGCATATCTGATCTGAGAAGCATTTCTGATTAATGGTCCTGTAAACTTCCTAATGCCTCTAACCCTGGGGGCTGTGCTTCTGTGCAAGCAGGAGCCATGCGAGGGCACTAATGTTGTGCAAGGTGCTGCCAAAGCAGGACTTGTTAATGCACAAGGAAATTATTCTACTTGGAGCAACGCAGCCTGGAAGACCATTGTTTCTCATCAGAGGAGGCTGTGTTCTATACTGCTGCATTTTATCCTGCTTTAATGGTTTGAGTGCCTCTGTAGCTGATGCCAGCTGAAGATGGAGCCCTCAGGGTCAAAGCAATTGTCTGCAGTGTGACCTCGGCAGCAGTGTGGGAGCAGAGGTTCACGTCCATCTATAGCACTGCCATTTCCTATGGGAAATGTCTTTTTTCTGACCTGTCAGTGAGACAGAAGGTCGTTTGTTTGCCATAATTAGTAAGAGTGGGGAGCGGACCTTATCCAGACATCACTAATTTTTCTGACAGTGCTGCGTGAGTCTTCATTCTCAGCTGTCAACTGCAGCTCAGCTTTGCGGGGGAACTGTCTATAGAATGGAAGTTTGGTTCATTGTGTGGCCTTTATGCAGCACTTCATGGGGGCAGTTTTGGTGCTTGGTTGCACTTGCACTTTTCCCAGAGGGAAAGGGGCTGGAATGAGGTGGAAACTGTAGCAGTGCTTGGAGGAGGGAGGTGCAATGGGGGAAGGGGTGCTCAGGGCAGGGGAACACAGGAGGGGTTCAGCTCCTGGTAATGTGGTGTTGGGAGAGCAGAATCTTCAAAGCAATTGGGGAAACCAGGGCTGGGGTAGCTCTGCAATATTGCAGCTCTAAAGGGAAAAAAGTTGTGTATTTAGTTCCATGCTGGGAGGCAAGGGATAGTATGGTTCATACGAGGAGTGGCATCTGAGGGAGGCTGTGGTGAGAAAACACTCCTGGCCATGGGGAAAAGTGAGATTATTGGTGACCAGCACTGGAGCTGCCAGATGGAACAGTGGGAGACATTGATGTCTGCCAGCACAGCACCTGCTCTCCCACTCCTTGCCTGCTCTGTATCATCTCTGACTTCAGCTGAGAGCTGTAAGGAAGGTGTTTTGCAATGGCAGAAGTGAGCCTGGCAAGTGCTGCTGGGACAGGGTTAGCACAGAGCCGGGCTCTCAGCTGGAGCACATCGATGCAGAGCTTTGCAAATATCCACATCAGCCTGTGCCAGCAGAGCGTCTGGCCCAAATATGTCCCATATGTTCCCCTTCCTTCTCTAAATCTGTTGGATTTTTAGAGGCAGTATTTCAAATAAAATGCCTGCTGAAGTGCAGGAGTGGCAGGTTGGTTTTACTGGAAGCGATTAGGGAAATCCTTGCTGTTGGTTCAGCCTGCATTCTACTTTGAAGAGCTCTAAATGTAATAAGAAAATTTGAGGCTAGATGGTGTTTTAAGCTCTTTGTCTATATATGTTTTGGATTATCCCTACTAGAAAACACACAATTGCATGTTCCCTTTCTTCCCATCACTTTGCTGCTTGCTTTCTGCCGATTTGCAGGGTGGGTGCTGCCCTCCTCCAGCCCTGTGTGAAGGTTCTCCAGCAGCAGCTGTATGGGAGGTGCTCACCAGTTCTGCCATGGTTTCCATCGCTAAAGACAGTCCTGAGTCATTCTCTTAAAAAAACCCACAAACTTCAGTCCAAACTGCTCAGGAAATGGCTCCTGGCCCCTCACTTCCCAACCAAGGAACTCAGGCTCTGCAGGCTCTGGCTGTCCAGCAGCTTGGGGTAGAGGTGATTAAAATCAGTTGTTGAAGAGAATGTTTAAATGTGCTAAGATGGTATAGTGAACGATGTGAAAACCAACAAAGGTTTTTCTGCTTTCTCTGGTGTAAGTTTCAGAGTCTCCTGGCAATGGCGTGGAGCAGGAGGTGAGGGCAGGACCTGCATCTCCTTTGCCTTTTCCATGTTTTAGATGGATGTTTGCCCCAGGGGGAGCTGCTGGCAGCTGCTCACTGCCTCTGTGCTCTGTATGAGGATGTAACAGCTCGACCCACAGGGTGCAAGCCACAGTATGGGCTGCATCTTCAGCCAAACCATTTGGCAAATATCAGCACCCACTTTCTGAAACTTTCATGCCGGATTTGGAAGCATCCTCTTTCATCTGCTTGGCCCATCACCAAAGGGAGTTAAAGCTGTTTGAGAGAAGCAGTGAGATGTTATCAATACAACAAGGTCCTGTGTCTTGCTCTGCTGGTGCAGCGTGCTGGCTGTGGCAGGAATCACCACTGCTCCTTAACCTCCCTGTGGTCCTTGGTCCTTTGTAATAGAAGGATGCTCTGTACCAAAACCATGATGAGAAAAACTGTCGGCATTTGTAACCGTCTGAAGACTTTCTGTGGTTGCCAGTGGGGAGATGGGGGAAGCAAGCACTCACAGCCCTCCGGAGTACAGCAAAAACCAAGTGCCTAAGATTTGCTATTTGCACACAGAGGTAACAGCATTCCCAGCAGGAACGGCAGGAACGCTGCAGTGCCCTCAGGCACGCGGTTCCTTCTGCAGCTTTGTTCGCAGCCTCTCCGTGCTATTCCACCTTTCTGCGGCAGCCTGAGCCTTTGCAGCCCTGAAGCATGGCATCGCGCATCCTTTCCTCTCCTCCCTCCAGCCCTCGTGTCACGCTGCGGGCTTTCGGCAGGAGAGGAGTGCCGCCTAGAGAGCAGCCTGCGCCAGCAGCACGCGGACCGCTGCTGTTGCTGTTGCTTTATTTCCCGAGGAGGAGCGCACCGACTGCGATGCGCCGCAGCGAGGCGAGCCGCTTGATTTGGGAGCTCGAAAAGCCCGGCTGGGGGGACCTGGTTACAGCACTGGGGATGTCAGAGGTACGTGGAGAGTGTTTCAACGAGCAATAGGGGTCTGCCATCGGGGTGTGTCTGTGGTTCCCTCTGGAAGTGAGTGGAGCCCTTGGCCACAGCTCCCTGCATCACAGCGGATCGTGGCCCCTCTCAAAGCATCGCTTCGCTCTCTGGAAGGCTGTAAGCATCATTGCTCACAAAAATCGCATCACATCATCTTTTTACATCCACGGGTTTTGGCTAACACTTGGCTTGGAATCAATCCCATTGCCCATGTTTATTCCTCATCTGGCACTGCTGCTCTCAGCAGGCTGCATTCCTGCAGAACAAGCGGCATCAACATGGATCACCAACAGGGCAAGTTGCTTCTTCTAGGCACTCAGTGCTTCGGTAGCATTGACTAAGGATTCATTCTGGAATACCTTTGGTATGCACAGTGGTAATGACACCCTTTGGTTTTCCCCTTGTTTGTGCTCTGGCTGCACTTTCTGTCTTTCTGCAGCCCTTGAGAAACTCCTCTCTAGCAGTTATTAAAAATACCATCAAACTGTTCAGATGTGTCAGCTCCCTTGAGCCTCCCGTGGGCTGTGGCATTTCCCAGGCCTCTGTTGCAAGCAGCAATTTGCAGAGCATCCTGTAGGCACAAGTGCTGCTGCTGGAGGTGCCCTTCCTCAAGCAGAGCACTTAGGAAATCTTTATCCAGGTGTGCAGCAGTAGGTGGTGATGATGGGATTGTGAAATAAAGAAATTCCAGCAGGAAAATCCCTTTGGAGGGAAGGTATGAATGTGATGCTCCGCGGGGATGTGGGTACATGTGTGGGGTGGGGCTGCTCCCATCCCACCCTGCCCCAAAGGAGGATTTTGCCACGTGTTTTTTCTTTCTTCTGTGTGGACGAATCTTCCTGAAGTCAGAACATCCAGCTGGGGGGAAGACGAGGGGCAGCAGTCAGCTGTCTGCCCCACAGTGCACAGAGGATGGGCTGCTTTCATCCCAGCAGGAAAACAAATGTGGTGGTTCAGTGTCCAGACCCTACAAAAGAGGTATCAGCCATCTGTAAAGCTGCCTCCAAAACTGCCAGACCCTCACCATTAGGAGGGACTGATGCGATCAGTCCAGCGATTTCCAATCAAATATTCCTTAAATCACCACAAATCACCACAAAGGAAACGATGACAGTTAGATATTTGTGCAAGAGATTTATTTTGCATAGATTCCATTAGAGTTTGATTACATTTCATAGAGTTCTGCATGCAAATTTCCCAAGTATTTTTCTGTAAGAAACGCATATGCAATGTCTTGGTAGCACTCTGGTCTTTGGGAACAGGCAATTTGCACCTCACTTTTTCTTATATTTTAAAGCAATTGTCACTGCCTTTGTAGCACAGCAATGTTCTTCAGCTCAGAGAGGCACTTTGGCATCATTTAAAAGCAACCATCCCATCCTTGGAGGAGACTGTTCACCAAAAATTGCTGTCAACTCTCCTAAAAAGATGCAAAATTGAACTGAAAGCATCTGGAAACCTCAGGTGCAGAAACAAAGTGCTGACTGCAGTGTGTGGCACAAAATGAGGCACCAGGCTCCTCCCCACGTGCCAATGGAGTGAAGTAAACAACTACTGCGTTTCTTCATCATAAAAATAAATAACTTGAAGTTCCTACCAATAAATAGAATAAATATGAATAATTATAGGAATAAATAATGTCTTCCAGGAATTTTGCTTGTCAGTGAGGGTGTGCAAAGGAGGATTCACGGAGCTCTGTGGTGGCATGGCAGGCTGCTCTGCAGTTATGTTGTCTCCTCCAAGAAGCCATACATGTTCAGGAACTTTAATAGTTCTTCCAAATTCTTGAAAAAGTCATAGTTTTCCATTGGCTCCCACTTATGTTTCTGGGGGACGGACAAAGGAGAAGAGTCAAAGCAATGTAATTTGGACACGCGAGTTGTATTTTGTTTCTTGACTGTGGATTGTTTCATTCTCTTTTTTAAGACCATGGAGGCACCAAACCAGGAGGCAGCTTCAGCAATGCACACATTTTGCTGTTGCCTGGACAAACACTGGGATTTGTACTAACCCAAACCCCATAGAACAGCGAGCAGAAAATCCACCCTGGACCTACCAGCCACCCAGTGCACGTCTCCCTGGCAGCATAGATACTCCGAAGTTTGTGGATAAGCTCTAGTTGCTTCTTTTTGCTTCTTTCCAGGGCCTTAATGAATTCTTCCAGGTAGACGACTGCATTCTCTTCCCCTTGCTCCATCATGAGAATTATGTTATTCTGCAATAACAAAGCATAGACATTCCTGTCTTTTCTGTATCGCCTCATGGAATCACTCAGGTTGGAAAAGAGCTCTCAGATCGCTGAGTCCAACCACTGCCCCATCCCCACCGTGCCCACTGACCACGTCCCCAGTGCCTTCAGAAGGAGCTCTGATCTGCCTTGTGATAAGAAAGAGAGCCAGTGCTGGTGGAAGCAAGCTCTTACACGTGGCTCTGATCAAGGCAGGACCTGAGCACTGATTTTTTAGGGAAAGATTTTGCCTTGAGTGAAGCCCATAGAGGGGCAACCATCACAGCTCATTGGTGGCGTGGTAGCCAGGGGACACCTCTTCCAAATACACAAAGGATGAGCTCTGCCAACTGCCAGATCCTCCTTCCATCTCCAAAAGCACATGGCCACACCGTGGGCATGCAGCATTGCAATGTGAGCTGCAACACGACCTTACCGGAGGCACGGTTTCATTGCTGCCCTGCAAGAGATTGTTAAAAAACCACATTAGCAGATGCTCCGCCAGAACAAAAACTCAGGCGTGCAACAAAAAGCAAACAGAACAGGCGAACCTGTAGTCCCTGAACGTCTTGAATGACTTCCTTCCGGAGGGAGCTGATGGGGCAGCCCTTGACCAGCGGCAAAGGGCTGGGGCGGCTGGGGGCCCAGCAGGACAGCAGCAGGCAGAGCAGCAGCAGCATCGTGGCGAGGCACCGCGCTCCTCTCGTGGGCTGGGTATGGCTGCATCCTGGCTTCCTTTTATACGTGCGCCGTGCGAGGAAATGATTAATACCTCACCACAAAGAAGCTCAAGCTGAAGGCGAGAAGTCACCTGTAGAGTGGAAGCTGTTACTTTCTTATCTGCCAGGGGAAACTACATGTGTCTAAAATAAAGACTCCCCCAGAAGTTCAGTGGCTGCTATGCAATTCAGATGTTTGAGTCCATCTTGCTTTCAGGAGCTGAAGCAATTTTATGATGCTGACAGTATTGGTACAAGATAAAGCTAGCTAAAAACTCCACCCAGACCTTCACGCTTACATGTACTTACATGTACATGTGTTATTATGATTACTCAAAGTAACACTAATTTATTGCCCCTCTGCTCTGCACAGTGTGACCTCACCTGAAACACTGCATCCAGATGTGGAGTACTCAGCACAGGATAGACATAAACCTGTTGAAGCATGTCCAGAGGAGGGCCATAGAAATGATCCAAGGGATGGAACTCCTCCCCTTTGGGACAGGCTGAGCACTGGGGCCGTGCAGATGGAGAAGGCTCCAGGGAGAGCTGAGAGTGACCATTCAGTACCTAAAAGGGGTGTAAGAATGAAGAGGACTGACTCTTTAGCAGGGTCTGTGTGGTAGGACAAAGGGAAATGATTTCAGACTAAAAGAGGTGAGGTCTAGATTGGATATTGGCAGAGGTTGTCCGGAGAGGCGGTGGTGCCTCATCCCAGGTCGGGCTGGAGGGGCTCTGAGCATCTGATGGAGCTGTGGGTATCCCTGTTCATTGCAGAAGG